CGGGCTGTGAGTGTGCAGGAAAGACCAGAGAAGGTCAGAACTTTCTTCTCTAGCTGATGTCGATCTTAAAGCTCCGCTCAGGTAGGACATGGAGGCAGACAGGTGGGATTCAGGGATGGAAATGGGGAGAATATGGGCACTATTTACTGGCTTTGGGGTTCCAATTAGAAGTGATGGAAATATTTTGGAAATAGATGGTTGTTAACACTACATAATGAATGTGCAAATTGGCACCATTTGGTCACTTTAAAAGGGTTAATTTTGTGGGGCATGGTGGCAGATGCCTTTAATTCCAGCATTTGGGAGGCAGAGGCAGGTGGATCTCTATGAGTTCAAGGCCAGCCTGGTCTACACAGCAAGTTCCAGGCTAGCCAGTACCACAGAGTGAGACCCTGTCTCCAAAGAAACAAACAAACAAACAAACAAACAAACACCACCACCAAGAACAAAACAACATTAGCTCAATTTTGCAAGGCATGGTGGTAAATCCAAATTCCAGCACTTGGGAGGTAGAGGCAGGAGGATCAGAAGTTCAATGCTATTTTTGGTTTTAAGGGAGTTCAAGTTCAGCTTTCCTTACATGGGAACTTGTCTCAAAAATACATATACATTTATTATGTGGGGAACATGTGCCTGCACATGTTCCATGAATGTGTAGAGATCAGAGACAACTTGTGGGAGTCATTTCTCTCCTTCCTAGGGACAGAACTCGGGTTGTCAGGCTTGGTAGCAAGACTCTTAACCTCTGAGCCTTTTCAGTAGCCCAGTCAATACATTAACCAAATAAAAACAGAAGTATTATATTTGCCTGGTATGGTGGTGCATGCAGAGGCAGGAGGATCATAAGTTTGAGGCCAGCCTGATCTATAGAGCAGTACCCTGTCTCAAAATAAAATATACTAAAACATCCACGGCTGTAGACATAACTCAGTGGTGGAATTCCTGCCTAGCATTAGGAACACACACACACACACGCACACAAAGTTAAAAATATTGTTTTTTTTAATTTGGGAATTTCACCTGTTAGCATTCTACAGTCCCTGAGCCAGGCCTGGTGGCTCATTCCCAGCTCCTGGAAGGCTGAGGCAACAGGTCACTGTAGCCCAGAAGTGTGATGTCATCTTGAGCAATACAGGGGACCCTATCTCAAATCAAACAAACCCCTGCAATGACTTCAAAGATAAATACACACATCTGCATACAAACATGTAGGTCATGTGTAGTAACCCCTCCATGGCCCTCTCACAGGACCCTCAGCTCCCAGAGCTGTGCTTCAGTGGCCAGACTGAGGCACACGTCCTTCTATACCCCTCCTCCTCTAGTTTGTCTCCTACTCAGGCAGGGCAAGTCCCTTGTCTCAGTGCTGTCCTGGGTCAGTTGATAGGTCACTGGTGCCCTCACCTCAGCCCATGAGAGCCCTGACCCCGAGTTTACCTCTGGTTCTGTGAAAATCTCAGGACACAATTGGCTTCCTGGGGCTCCCAGAGCCAACATAACAAGCAACACAGCTCCATTCTCTCAGGCTCTCTGGCCCAGTCGGTTCTTTCAAAGGTGTCAAGAATCAGCTCTCCCTTGTCTGTCCCAGCTTCTGGAGGTTTTGGTGGTCCTCGGTAGGCTGGACTTGATCACTCCCAGCTCTGTCACTACTGTCACCTGTGTCTCCTCTGTTTTTTGAGTCAGGGTCTCCTGTAGCCCAGGCTGGCCTCAAACTCACTATATAGCCACGTGGTAGTGTTATGGAAAAATCCTCTGAACAGCTAAGAGATCGAGCACGTCACCCAGGAGAGTTGGAAAGCTTGCTTGTTCTCACATGCATGTGGTCCCAGAAGTGGCAACAAAGGCTTCCAGACTTTCTTGGCCCTGAACAAAGTAGAACTTTTCCATCATTTTATGGTTGGCACTGGGCACGGTTGGCACTGGGCCTATGGCTCTTCTTTGATGTACCATGTCATTTCAGGAAAATTCCTTCCTGAGCTCACCTGGTCATCCTAGTTTACAAAGCAGATATCCCAGGTGTGGGTCAGGACATCTGCAGCCTTTTGGTCTAGAGCTAGGCCAGGTTCATGGGGCTAAGAGTTGGTCAAATGGTCACTGCAGTTTACAAAAAACCAGATATCACAGGCAGAAGTTTAGACATCTGTCACATTTGATCACATTTTGTCAGGATCATTTGGTGGACTTTCCATTTTCTTAGTTTTACACCTTTATCAGGAGACATGGTGAGTTGTACGCATCACAGAGCTTCAAGATATCAAAGTAATAAAACATCTCAGGGTAGTGAGACGTCACAGAGTAATACAACATCACCAAGTAGCAAAACATCACATTTCACGTGTCTACCCAGTAAGTAAAACGAGAGACTTCAAATGGCCTGAGCTGAGAAGGGCATTTTGGAAGAACGCGGTTTGGTTATACGAATAGAACCTCGCTTCATCGTTGGGAGCCTCCCAGAACAAAGAAAAGGCAGGCAGGCAGCACAGTCTGTGCCTGAGTACATACACACAGCTCTGCCTGCCCATGACCTTGCAGCACAGAGCACTAGGTAGTGCAGGAAGAAATTGAACCGTCAAGGGGAACTTACAGAGGGCATAAAAGGCTGGTTTTTCTCTGATCAAGGCTCTGCTTTTGAGAACGATCTCACAGAGCCAGGAGCTAGCATGAATAAACTGCTTCTCGGAGGAAAGAAACACCTCAGCATTCCATGTCTCCGCACACAGACCCTGCAACAGCCAAGGATGACCCTGAACTTCTGATCCTCCTGCTTCTGCTACCCAAGTGCTGGGATTGCAGGAGTATTCCGCCATGCTGGGTTTATGCACTGCTGGGGATCAAACCCAGAGCTTGATGCTTGCCAGGTAAACACCACCCTGAGCTGCACCCCAGTCCTGTGTCTCCTTGTAGGGAAACCATTCATGTGAGAGTCTGGCCCATATGGATCCAGGATTTTAACTAATTCCAGCTACAAAGACTATTTCCCAGTGAGATCATGTTCACAGATCATAGGCTTACTCAGTTAATTTGGGGGCCATAACTGAGCCCAGAATGGGCACCAGCTCCACAGAAGTGCCTACGTCTGTCCTGCAGGGTTCTGGACACAGCCTATGCAGAGGAACAGCAGTTTCCTCTAAAGAGAAACAGGATCCTCCTTAGAGCTGTTGGCTGAATTTTTAGCCTCACAAACACAGGGCCTTGCCTTAGGGCAACAGTGTGGTCCCAAGCCCAGCAGCTGACTCCCACTTGGCCAGTGGCACTGAGGGTGCTCCTCAGGGAATTCTGGGTAAATGGATGACGGGCCAAAGAGAAGCAGGGTCAGCAGAGATGAGGACAAAGCTACACACCATGCCACACTCTGGGGACACGGCTCCCTGCCATGCCACACACTAACAATAGGGATATGGTTCCATACCACACCACCAGCTGCTTGAGAAGTTTTTTCCCAGAGATCTCCACCCAGGCAAAACTGATATCCTGGCTCCGAGATGAATCTCGGGTTAAGTCATTATGAGGCTGTTGGGCTAATTGGTCCTTAAGAGCAGAATATTGAAAGGGTGGTAAACAGGCTGCTCTAGGGGAGAAGGCTCCCATTCCGCAGGGAAGTGCCTTAAGCCCAGGAGGTCAACTCAACAGCCTTAGGAAGTCCCTGAAACGAACCTGATTCAGTAAGCCCTTCCCTCCCCAAGCGTGTATAAGCTGTAAAGGGAAGCTGCCAGACACTGCCTGCAACTCCTGTAGCGAGCTCCAGGTTTCCACCTCTGGAGAGCGGCCTATCCATGCCGGGGTGACTCATTGGTTCATCAAGTCGGACTCTGGTGGTATCCTTACATTGGTCTGTGCTTGGGTCCCTGTTTTTGTTTTGTTTTGTTTTGTTTTGTTTTTTTGGTCTTTTTGAAGCAGGGTCTCTCTGTAGCCCCAGCTGGCCTGGAACTCACTATGTAGAATAACTCCTGTAGCGAGCTCCAGGTTTCCATCTCTGGAGAGCGGCCTATCCATGCCGGGGCGACTCACTGGTTCATCAAGTCGGACTCTGGTGGTATCCTTACACTGGTCTGTGCTTGGGTCCCTGTTTTTGTTTTGTTTTGTTTTTTTGGTCTTTTTGAAGCAGGGTCTCTCTGTAGCCCCAGCTGGCCTGGAACTCACTATGTAGACCAGGCTGGCCTTGAACTCACAGAGATCTGCCTGCCTCTGCCTCCCGAGTGCTGAGATCAAAGGTGTGTGCCACCAAGCCTGGCTCCTATCTGCTTTTGAGAACTATCTGACAGAGCAAGGAGCTAGTATGAATAAAGTGCACAGGAAAGAAACACCACTCAGCATGTAGACCCTGCACAGCTGAGGATGACCTTGAACTTCTGATTCTCCTGCTTCCGCTACCTAAATCCTGGATTACAGGTGGTGTTTATTCACACCTCTCCAGGAAGTGTCATACAACAGAAGCAAAGCTGGATTGATTAAAAGAAAAAAAAGGTTCCAGGAGAGTAAAGTGTACCATTTACCCTTTTACAGTGTGAATTTCTCAAGGTTGAGGCACCTTTAAGTGCCTTTACACTGTGTGTGTGTGTGTTCAACATATGTTGGACAGAAGGGTCATTAAGTTACACTTCTTAAGTTACACTTTCTTAAGTTATACAGAAAAAAATGCTACATAGGCATTAAAAGTCTTGTATTTGAGGGCTGAGGAGATGGCTCGATGGGTAACGGTACTTGCTACATAAGCATAAGCCCTGAATTGGAACCCTCAATACTCATATAAAAAGCTGGGTGTGGTTGTGTGTGAGCCTGTAATCCCAGTGCTGGGGGTGCAGTGGGGTTAGAGGGAGGATCGCTGGGGCTTGCTGGCTGCCAGCCTAGCTCCAGGTTCAATGAGAGACCCCCACCTCAAGGGAACAAAGCAGCGCATGACACAGCAGGACACCCAGCATCCCCTCTGGCCTCCACATGCACCTCTAGTGTGCATACCAGTGCACACACACATAAAGCACACACACCCAGACACGTGCACAGAATAAAATGAAAACCTTGCATTTTAATGCCATCCATCATCAAAATAAATAACAGAGAATGAAGATGGGTCACAGAGCACCACATACGAAGCAGCCCCGTTCGTGTAAACAGTGACTGTGTGCACATGCTGATAGAAACCCATGTGTCCAGGGCAGAGGGACTTCAGGTGTGGGTGACAGTGGGTCAGAGGGATGAATTGTTTTGTTTTTCGGTTTTTTTTTTTTTTTTTTTTTGAGGCAGGGTCTCCCTATAGCCACAGCTAGCCTGGAACTCACTATATAGACCAGGCTGGCCTCGATTTCACAGAGGTTCACCTGCCTCTGACTCCCAAGTGCTGGCCACCAGCCAGGCTGAAGGATGAGTTTGTATATATATGTTTTTTACAAAAATACCAAAGTTACTAGTTCCATTTAAAACACAATTATTTTTAAATAGATCTGACTGGCGTACTCTGGTTTCTTCTTCAGCCTCAGCTTAGACCCCACACCAAGATCAGACACAACTCTTGAGATGCCTACTGTGTGACTCCTTCCCTGTGGGGCCTGACTTCAAGTAGGAACTCAGAATCTGGAGCAGTGCCAGCCTGCCCCTGCCAGAAGCCGGACGCTGTGTCCTTTCCTGTCTCACTTGGCCTGACACTCTGGAAGGCTCTATCCAGGCTGTCTCCCCTGAAGTGTTCCCATCCAGGAAGGTGACCCTCCAGTCACCCTAAAGGACACAAGTCCCACCCCGGGATCCCACACCACTCTCTTCTTTTCCCAGGCTACCTGCACACAGCCTTTCCTCGTCCCCGCCATGTTAGTGAGTCTAGTGGGTGACATCAGCATCTAATCACAGTGATCTTCTAGAGGAACCTTCTGGATACTCTTCCCACAGACACCCATCAGTGGCCTGATTAAGACTTCAGCAGAGCCACATTGTGCTCTGGGACAGAATCTTCATGGCTGTTGTAGGGCTGGGTCCCTGGTTCTTGCTGCAGATGGTTCTCTGCAAAACAAGGTTCCATCAAGCACTGAAAAGACTCTGGGCTTGGGGCCTCACATTGCATGGGATTAAAGGCAGGGCAGGCACTCACCCTGGAAGGAAGGAAGGACCCACCTGGGTTGATCCCCTCCCCACTTCCCAGCTCTTTGGACCTTATCCCACTCCATTTCACAGGCCAGTCTGGATCCCTGAAGAATATTCCTTACACCTACCTGCTTCCTCCAAGGTAGTGAAATGCTGGAAGCCCTTCAGGTCAGCGGCCAGCAGGGTGCGGAGCACAGGCACCTGGGGGACAGACATGCTTTAATCCAGGGCGGGTATATCAGTGAAGTGCTGTGCACAGGCGTGGCTGAGGGAGGAGGATGGGGCCCCAGAGTCCCACTGCCAGAGCAGCTTAAGGTCTCTAGTGACAAAGAAGACCAGGGCTCTGTATAGACATGGAGCGTAATGATTGCAAGGACAGCCTTGGGCAGACGTTCAGGCCTGAAATCCCTAGCACCTGGCACACAGTCAGCACTGACCCCCAGGAAGGAGGATGAGGTCAGATGGTCAGGAACCTGCCAGGTCAGAGCCACAGCCAGCAGGGGGGCATGGACACGGGTCCTTGGAATGACATCATGGCCCAGAGATGTCACTTTGGGTTCTTTTAATTTCCATCTTCCCTCCGTAGCTCTGGCTAATCTGATACTCGCAGTATGGACCAAGCTGGCTTTGAACTTACAGGAACTCTCCTGCCTCAGACTTGTGGGCTGAGCCTACAGGTATGTGCAACCATGCCTGGCCACAGGGAAGGCTACTCACCCTCTTTACAAGGCGGCCTGGTTCACCCACCTGTAGGCCAGCGAAGGCCAGCATGATGCCCTGCTTGTGCAGGTCCTCCAGAAGGTCACCTAGCCCCAGCACCACGGTGTAATCGATGCTGCTGATGTGGGTGCACTCCAGGACTGTGCAGCGCTGTGGAGATGCTGGAGAAACAGGCCGAGTCTGTCATACAGGGTGGGGCAAAGCACGTGGCTCTGCAGCCATGGCCAGGGCAGAAGGAGGCCATCAAGGGAATGTTCCCCAGGGCCAAGTCAGCCAACACAGGGCAGGGAAGGGACAACAGCTACCTGGGAAGAGCTGTTTCTCGGCTCCCCTGAACGTTAGGTCCCCGAAGGAGCAGGCACTTGTGGACATGCAGGGGCAACCATGGTGCTTGTTGAAACGGACAGTGGGGCGAGTCATGGGATTGCTGCCCACTGGGGACTGACCCTGTCTGCAGGAGACGCTGCTCAACGATGCGGGAAACTTGAGAGGCAAGCATCTCTCTGACCAACTGAGGCTGGGCCTCGGGGTCCTGATGGGGCTGGGCTGGGGTGCTGAGGACTGCGGGAATGCATGTTGACCTCTGCCCACCATGGCTGGCCCACGTACCTTCCAGGGCTCGGCTTAGTATTGCTTCCCGCAGGGCATCGATTGCAGGGAAGTGCAGGCCGCTGGCCGGCTGCAGGACAAGAACCGGTCCTTCTGATACCTATGTGGAGAGACACAAGTGAGCCCTGAAGGCAGACAGGGCAAGGCAGTCTCTGCCAAGCTTCATTCATTGCAAGCTGGAGGCCGCAATCTACGCCTAGCACACAGCACATGGCAGGAGGGGAAGCTGGCAGGAGGCCCCGAACACTCCAGACTCAACAGGAGAGGGGGAGACTGGTCCCCTTGAACAACCTCAGGATGCAAGGAAGAGAGGAGCCCAGGAGCTCCACCCACTCTCTCCTTACACTGCGCATACCTGGATCTTGGGCCTGGCCACGGAGTGCAGGAGGATAAACAGGGACACCAGTGTCCCCGCCAGGATGCCGTACTGGACCTCCCAAAAGCACAGGAGGAATGTCATACAGAGCGGCAGCAAATCCAGCCCTAGGAGAGGGGTCAGTTCAGGGGTGCCCCTCCTCCTTGAGCCCCACGGCCCACAGGCCAGCCACTTGGCTTCTCTCAAGCTTCGTAACAGTGGTCACAGACCTAAAGCACCCTGAGAAGTGGATCTGGTGACAGAAGTTGTGGGTGGCAGCTGGCCCAAAGGCCAAGGTCAGAGGTCAGAGGTAGAGAACTGGGTTCCTGTCTATCAGGTTAGGGCCTGCCTGGCCCTGGCCCAGGCCTCCAGCCTCTGTGAGCAGGTGGGCAACTAGAAGCTTGCTAGGGGACAGAGGGAAAAGGGACAGAGTTTGAGAAGTGAGGCATGCTGGTCAGTTTTTGTCAACTTGACACAAACCAGAGTCCCTGGGGAAGAGGGAACTTCAACTGAGGAATTTCCTCCATCACAGTGACCTGTGGCTATGTCTGTGAGGCTTTTTCTTTATTCTAATTGATATAGGAGAGTCCTGCCCACTGTGGACAGTGCCATCCCTGAACTGTGTAAGAAAGGTACCTGAGCAAGACAGGGGAACAAGCCAGTGAGCAGCGTCCCTCAGTGGTTTCTGTTTCCGTCCATATCTCCAGGTTTTTGCCTGACTGCCCTCACAGATGGACTGTGCCAGGGCTAGAGAGATGAGTCAGTACTTAGGAGCACTGGTTGCTCTTGCAGAAGACGTGGGTTTGGTTCCCAGTATCCACAAGGCAGCTAAACTGTTTAAGTTCCTAACTCAAAGTGAAGGGGATTTTATCTGCTAACTTGCTGTGACCAATGAAGAGACTGAAATACAGGAATCCTGTCCCCTCAACAAAACAGACACACTTCTGTGTCATTAAGGGAATTGCTGGTTCAGAAAAAGAGCCTGTATCCAAGGAAACAGGGACCTGCTGGTCAACCAGAGGAGACGGGACGATGGAGTAGGAGAACCATTGCTGGTCTCCAATGGGCACAAAAGTCTGATTCATTTGCCCCAAGAAGAAAATCTGCACTGTTTATTCTTCAGAACTCTCTCAGGGATCAGAACAAGGATAAATTCTTTAAAAAAAAATTCTTTTGGTATTTTTGAGACAGGGTCAACAGGGTCTGTAGACCAGGCTGGCCTTGAACTCACAGAGATTCGCCTGCCTCTGCCTCCTGAGTGCTGGGATCAAAGGCGTGCGCCACCATGTCCGGCTCAACCAAGGATGAATTCTATCTGAGCTACATCCATGTTTGATTTGCTTATCCTCTTGAGAGAGAGAGAGAGAGAGAGAGAGAGAGAGAGAGAGAGAGAGATAGATAGATATGGAGGGAGGGAGAAAAAACTTGCACATGCTATTGATGGGCACATAAGAAGTCAGACCTTACCTTCCACCTCATTTGAGACAGGGTCTCCCATTATCCACTGCTGCATATGCCAGGCTGGCTGGCCCAAGAGCTTCCCATGGAGCTAAACTTGGCTCTGAGCCTTCCATGTGTCCACTCCTAAGATTGGCTAACTTCCCAGCTCCAGCCCAGTGGGGCAACAGGCCAGGAGCAGGGATACAAGGAGCCCTCGGTGTTCACAGACACCATGCCATCGGCTCCCTGCTTTTGAACCAGCACATACATACTCTTAACTCGCCAGAGTGTCCTGAAAATCTTGGCATCGAACAGTGGTGCCACAGCCATGATGATGACGGCAGCTAGGGCAGCCTTGGGGATGTAGGAGAACAGTGAGGTCAGGTAGCACAGAGACAGCAGGACCAGCACACCTGCGAGGGGTGGTGGGTCACGTGTGGAGTCTTGTGGGGGAGGGGGGCAGGTTCCCACCCAGTACCCACCGAGTGGTGCAGCCTAGGTCAGGACATGGAGGGGCTGGGGACTGTCAAGGCCCCAGCAGCTTTGCAAACCTGGTGGGCACTTAACCCTTCAGCCAGGAGCTCCGTCCCACCTCCACCATTCCCACACATGGGCCCAGGGAAAAGAAAGTGGGGGGCTCACCAGTCACCAGTCCCCCTCCTGGGGTACACACCCCAGACTGTGCATTCACGGCTGTCCTGAAGATAACAGAGAGACCTGTCAACCCCATGTACTGAAAACTGAGTGCTTTGGCCTCACGCTGCAGCTGACCTTCCAGTAAGATCTGCAGTGGGAGGTGGGTGGTGGGGACAGGTAGACTGGGCCCCAACAGCAAAGTGAGTTAGGACTACCACAGAGCACTGGACTCAATGTACCTGGCTGTTTTTTTTTGTTTTTTTTTTTTGTCTTTTTGAGACAGGGTCTCCCTGTAGCCCCAACTGTCTTGGGACTCACTATGTAGACCAGGCTGGCCTTGAACTCACAAAGATCTGCCTGCCTCTGCCTCCCTAGTGCTGGGATTAAAGGTGTGTGCCACCACGCCCGGCATAGACTGTTCTTTTTTTAAAAAACGCTTTTTATTGGGGCTGGAGAGATGGCTCAGCGGTTAAGAGTACTGACTACTCTTGCAGAGGACCCAAGTTCAGTTCCCAGCACCCACATGGCGGTTAACGTCTGCCTGTAATTCCAGTTCTAGGGGATCCTACACCCTCTTCTGACCTCCATGGGCACTGCATGACACAGGTGCACTTACACGCATGAAGGCAATACCCTCATACACATAAAATAGTAAATAAAATATTTTAAAAAAATGAACTGGTAGCTTCATACACGTATATTAACACCCTTGCTCACTCCAACCTCGCTCTAACCCGCTCCCATTTGCTCTGCACCTCTTCTTCCCAACAAGCCTCTCTCCCACTTTCAAGTAATTTCATGACCCCCCGAGTTTAATAAGCTTACATGAGTTTGGATGAGGGGATGCTAACTGCAGCATGGGCAACCAACCAGCAGCTACAGCACTAGGAAAAACAGTCCCCCTCCCCAACGGCCATCAACTGCCAACCGCTCCTCAGCTAGGGGTGGGTGGATGTCTTATTTTTTTCTAATACATGCTGTTTATTATTGAGTAAAAGAATACCAATCAGAAAACACAAGTCCTTTAAGATCCCCTTTCTTCTGCCTTCTACACCCACTGTTCCTGCTGGGCAGTGCTCTCTCCTTTAACCCTGTCCCATTTCAGACTCCAGGAGAAGCTTGCCTCCAAACTCGATTCATCAGGGCAGAGACCCAGTCCTTCCTGTCCCCCCTCTCTCCTGGAATTAACTCAGGCACAAATAGGCTTGGAGCACTTCCATGGGCTGGGAAACTTTCCAGCACTGAGCACAGGGCTGGGAAGCCAGGCATCCTGGAGGGCAGGTGTAACCTGCCTTGCTGTGGACAGAGTAACAGCTTACCAAGGATGCTGGAAGGCATGGCAGACTGATGGGGAGAAGAACAAGGAAAATGTCAAATGTGGTAAAGGGTACAGCAAGAGGAAAAACGGTCCTTGGGCCCCGCTGTCCCTCAAGGCACAGAGAAGGGCGCACATGGCCACTCACCGCCCAAAGCTGCCAGTGACTGGGTAGGCTGAGACGAGAGAGCCCAGCACGTTGGTGAGGCCTGGGGAGAAAAACGGAGGTTTACCAGGGGGGCAGGAGATCAGACTGGGGGCAAGAGAGACAGGAAGGAGGGAGACAAGGGCAGAGAAGTCAGACGCTATCCCCTGTGACCTGCCTTGTTTGACATGGAGCTCGAACAACTTAGCTTACCAAGCAGCTCCTCAGCTGGGGTGAGGGGATGTCTTATCTTTTCCTAACATACATCTTTACTATTGAGTACAAAAATACCAATCAGAAAACACAACCCTTTTAGATCTCCCCTGTTCTGTCTCCTACATCTAGTGACTGCTAGACTGACCAAGGGTCACTAAAAGGCTTGGTGGACTGGCTGTGAGAATGAAGAGAACCTCAGGCTAGGGCTCACGTAAGTTCCAGGCCCTCTGGGGTCACATGGCCAAGAACAGGCCCTACAGGGGCCTGGACAGCAGAAGGCTCACAGAGGCTGTGTAATGGCTTCAGGCTACCCAGGATCCCCCAGACCCCTGATGGTCTTGGGTCAGGGACAAGTCTGTGTTGGTGTCAAGGATGATGATTCCTCGTTCTTGAATATTCTGCAGGGTTCCCTGCTTGTCCCTACGAAGGTGCAGGTGCTCAGTCTATTTGAAAACCAGGAAGAAGACATCCACCTTCAATCACATGACCTTGCATCTCTCTGGCCTGTACCCTGAAGACACCCAGTGCTATCAGAACAGCTCTGTGCTATTATTTATTTATATGTTGGTACCAGTAATTGAAGTACTATTTCTACACACACACACGCACACCCCTTATAGTGCTAGGGATCAAACTCAGGGCTTCACACATTCTAGGCAAATGTTCTACCACCAAGCTACACCCCCAGCCTTCAATCACGAACGCATAATTTTGGAAGTAGTGGAACACGGGCCTGAGAAACCACAGCAGGATGGCTTGCTGGGCTTGGCAAATGCACGAGATATCCGAGGATTTCCTCTGCTTGAGATATTCGACCCCTACCTCAGCGGCCTGATTTACCAGTTCAGTGAGGAACGTCATGTGGCCATCTGGAAGCCGAGGGCTCGGGCCCAAACCCTGCCATTAGGTGGCTGGGGTGCTGCCAAGTCCCCCTGAGGAAAGAGCCTCCATGCTGGCCAGGCTGGACCTGGTCCATCTCACAACACATTAAAAACAGTACCGATGATCGAATTTAAGGTTCTTAGTGTGACCTCAAACCACACTGCCACTTAAGTCAGTTTGTAGGGACAAAAGAGAGTGTAGTGAATGCTGACTCTCGAGTCCCCACTGTCCCAAGTGCCCCTGCCTCTGCCTAAAGACGGCCACAGGACAGGGAAGGGCATTCAGGAGACTCGCCTAAGGGTCTACCTGGCTTCACCCTCCAGCTCTCTCCAGGGGATGGAGCACTACAAGTGTTCCCTGGCACTGAACAAAGCTCTAGACCTTAACGGTACAGTGCTCAGCAAGTGGCAGATAGACCACAGGTGAGGGATTCCATGGATCTACTAGACATTTGATACAAGCCCACACTACTATTTCGAAAGCTCTGCTGTCCGTGACACCACACCCGGTATGACCCAGCGAGACACAGAGGAACTGGGACCAGAGAGGGTCTTACCGATGGCCAGCAGCTCCTGGTTGGCGTTAACGTGGTAGTTATTCTTAGAAGCTGAAGAGGATGGATCACAAACACTGTCACCACATGCGTAAGGACAAGTTCTACACAGCACTAACTCTGTACGAGTGTTTACACATATAAACCATAAAATGACTGGGCATGTCTGATCCAAGAATATGAAATGTTCAAAGATTCAAAATGTGGGGCTGGAGAGATGGCTCAGTGGTTAAGAACACTAGTTGCTCTTACAGAGGACGCAGGTTCAGTTCCCAGCACCCTCACGGTAGTTAACGACCATCTGTAACACCAGTTCCAGGGGATCTGATATCTTCTTCTAACCGCCAAAGGCACCTGGCACACAGGTGGTATACATGCACACATTCAGGCAAACACAACTGACACACATGCAGGCAAAAAAAAATCTGAAACCTGTGTTTGTGCACATGCAGCATGTGGAGGCCAGAATACAACTTCAGGTGGTGTTTCTTGGACACTGTCCACCTTGTTTTGAGCATCTCTTTCTGACCTGCAATTCACCCAGTAGCCAGACTGGCTGCCCAGCCAACCCCAGGGATCAATCCCCCTGTCTCTGCCTCTCCAGTGCTGGGATTACAGGTGTATGCCCCATGTTTGGATTTTCTCCCTGTAGCCCCAGCTGTCCTGGAACTCACTATGTAGACCAGGCTGGCCTTGAACTCACAGAGATCTGCCTGCCTCTGCCTCTCTAGTGCTGGGATTAAAGCCATGCTCCACCATGCCTGGCCCTCACTCTGGTCCCCATGTCCAAGAAAAATGCTTTACTGACTGAGCCATCTTTCCAGCTCAAAATCTGAAACTTTCTGAGTATTGATGTGACATTCAAAAAGTTTCAGATTCTGGGATACTATGAAATTTGGATTTTGGATTTAGGGATGCTCAATCATCAATGCCTCTGCAAATACCCACAACTGTCAGTCTCTGAAGTCTGAAACACGCTCTGTCTCAAGCATGTGATGGAAGGATGGTCTACATGTCTGACATGCATGTATGCATGTGTTTGAGTAGAAAGAGGTAATGGTCAGGAGGCACCGGATAACAGGTGATCGGCTCCTTATTTATTTCTGTACTTTCAGTGTTTTATTACATTTCCCTGAGAAAAAAATGTTTCAAACTAAAGCCTCTTCAATGTAAAGCTGGGAGGGCAGACGGCAAGGTTAGGGTCATCTCAGATGATTTGGGCAATGTTTTTGTTTTTTTTAAAGGTGGGACCTCAAGGGCACCAATCTCAGACCAAAAGCAGCAAGCTGTCACTACATGTTTTTAAGCTCTGGGTGCCCTGAGACCCTTCATAGGGCTCCCTCTGCTGTCAGCCATCACAGCCCCCAACAGCCACAAGCAACATACAACAGACAGAAAAACTCAGCCACAAACCACTTGCGAGCCATGACATTAGAGGCTCATGTTAGAAGTTCGTGTGTTTTCTATATATCACAAAATATTACGTCCCTTTGGCTTTTCCGACCATCTAAAAATGTAAACATCAGATGGCACTCAATGTGGGTGGTGAGCTGAAGTCTACCAAGTCCCGACTTAAGACTGACAGCAAGTATGAACAAACCAGACAGGAGGTCAGGGCCTTCATCAAGAAGAAGGGCATTGTGCTGTGTAAGAATCAAGAATAAAGGTCATAAGGTATACAGATATTCAGGGAAATAAAAACTGATCAAAAAGACACATATGAACGGACTGAAAGGTGGTGTGGTCTTGGGCAACTGGAAATCGGAAAACCCTTCTGAAAGGACATGCACGAAGGGTTTTAGAATGGAGGCTGGAAAGATGGCTCAGGGTTACGAGGGATTGCTGTTCCTATAGGACCCAAGTTCAGTTCCCAGCACCCATGTCAGGTGGCTCACAACCACCTGTAACTCCAGGCGATATGATGCACTCTTCTAGCCTCTCTGGGCACTAAATGCACAACCACACAGACACATACGCAACACACACATAATATAAAAAAGAAAATAAACCTGAAAAAAAAAGTTTTCAATTCAGACTTACACAAAAAACAATTATAAGCCGGGCGCGGTGGTGCACACCTTTAATCCCAGCACTTGGGAGGCAGAGGTAGGAGGATCTCTGTGAGACTACAGTCCCCTCCTCTCGGCACAGTCTGAGTGGAGCCTGGGGGCCATTAATGCTTCAGGCATTAATGAGGTAGATGTGCCATCCTGGCTCCCTTTTAGAGTAAAACTATCTATCTATTTATTTATTTGTTTTATGAGTATGAATGTTTACTTGCATGCATGTAAGTTCATTAATGCTTCAGGCATTAATGAGGTAGATGTGCCATGCTGGCTCCCTTTTAGAGTAAAACTATCTATCTATTTATTTATTTATTTGTTTTATGAGTATGAATGTTTACTTGCATGCATGTAAGTGCACCTGTGCGTACAATGCCCATGAAGAGGGCATCAGATCCCCTGGAACTGGAGTTACAGATGGTTGTTAGCCACCATGTGGGTGCTGGGAATCAAACCTGGGTCCTCTGCTAGAGCAGCCAGTGTTCTTAACTGCTGAGCCAGCTCTTTACATCCCTCTTCCTCTTTTTTAGGTTTTGAAGAATTTCGGATTTCAGGTATTAGTAATATCTACTGCCCCCATTTAAAAAATGAGCATGGGCCAGGCGTGGTGGCACACGCCTTTAGTCCCAGCACTCCGGAGGCAGAGGCAGGTGGATGTCTGTGAGTTCAAGGCCAGCCTGGTCTACATAGTGAGTTCCAGGACAGCTGGGGCTACAGGGAGACCCTGTCTCAAAAAGACAAAAACAAACAAACAAAAAAAAGAGCATGCATACCCGTATTAAAATTCTAATGTTGGTACCGGAGAGATGGCTCAGTGTTTAGAGCACTGATTGCTCTTGCAGAGGACCTGTGTTCGATTCCCAGCACCCACATGGCAGCTAAGAACCATCCATAACTCCAGTTCTTGGGGATCCAACACCCTCTTTTGACCTCGGACATTGCATGATATGGGTGCACTTACATACACGCAGGCAATACACTCATGCACATAAAGTAACATAACATAAAATAAAATAAAAATTCTAATGTAAAAAAATTACAGCATATAAAAACAAACCAGAAAGCAGGAAATCAAACAAGGAGGAAGCTTGGGGCTGAGACTCGGGCGAGTTTCAGGCAGTGGGCATCTTACCAAAGGACTTGGCCACGGCGATGCTCTCCAGGAGGCCTATCAGGGGCACCACCGCCAGCCCGGTCCCCATGTCCTGAGAGTAGAAGGGGATGGTGAGTGACCTTCTTGTATTCAGGGAGGAGGAAGCATCTGGTCGGGCAGGGACCCACACAATAGACAGTCCTTCTCCACAGCCAATGGAGGCAAATCTGCCTCAGCTGCAGGAATGTGAGTCTACGCCAGTAGAGCTTATACAAGCTGCCTCATCATAAAAGAACCCAGAAAATACGTCCTCTGCCCTGGAGGTTGTGTCCTACCTGAGATTCTTCCCTCTTTCCTCACATGCCCCTTTTGGAGAACCTGACAGCCCTGACCAGACACAGACATCCCATCACCAAGCAGGTTATGTCAGGACAGGGAGCCCAGCCCAAGGGCCACCTGCCGCCGACTCCGTCTCTGCTCACCTGCACCATCTCGGTGAACGAGATGGTCCTGTTGTTTGTGGTCACTGAAAAGGGTGGGGCCCGCACTTTCCTCACATGCCCTTTTTGGAGAACCTGACAGCCCTGACCAGACACAGACATCCCATCACCAAGCAGGTATGTCAGGACAGGGAGCCCAGCCCAGGGGCCACCTGCCGCCGACTCCATCTCTGCTCACCTGCACCATCTCAGTGAACGAGATGGTCCTGTTGTTTGTGGTCACTGAAAAGGGTGGGGCCCGCACAGAAGGGAGCCCCTTCGCTGTCTCTCCGGTTAGAACAAAAGGCTGGTATCCCATCACCTCAAAGGAGTATGCAACCAGGGCTGCAAAGGAGACCACCAGGGCATTGCGAGCTAGGGCAGAAAGGTGACCTTGGTGAGACCAGTCTTAATGAGAAAAGGAGCGTGGGGCACACACATCCCACGAACAGGAGACACTACCATACCACAATCCCGCACTGCAGCCTGGGAGACTGGCCTGCACACACACGGCCATGAGCAGGTCTGAGCATGTGGCCTATGATGAAAGCATGCAGTGATGAAGGCATGCGTGCTTGTGTCCCGACACCCAAGAGGTGGAGGCAGGATTGTGGGTTTGAGGCTAATGCCACAGTACCCAAATTGCAGGACCAGTTTTCATTTCTCTTCAGCTCTGAATGTTCAGGTATCAGTGTTTCCTCCTTCCCTGTGTGTCCCCTCCCCTCTGATGTCACCAAGCAGCAGCATTCAGCCCCAGGACCTCTGTATCTGTCTTGGCAACCAGAACACAAGATGCATGGGGAGGATCCCCTCTGCACAGAAAGGGCCCTTCAGAAGCCAATGGCCAGGCTCCTCCCACCCTGAAGCCGCACCTTGGCTTTTCTCTACGGACTCTTTCATTAAAGATGACTCTGCCTGCACGCTCCCTGACTGAGGCTAAACTTTCACTCTTAACAAGTGCACACTTGAAGCCGGTGGCGCACACCTTTAATCCCAGCACTCAGGAGGCAGAGGCAGGTGGATCTCTGTGAGTTCAAGGCCAGCCTGGTCTACATAGTGAGTTCCAGGCCAGCTGGGGCTACAGGGAGACCCTGTCTCAAAAAGGCCAAAAAAAGTGCACACTTGAAAAACAGAGCTGCTGAACCTTGGTCAGAGATGCTTCTCTCTGTAGTGGGCAACAGTTAAGGTAGAGACTCAACTGGTCAAAATGCTGAGAGTAAGTGACCACTGAGTGCTCGGCCCTAAACGGGACATTCTATCAACACTGCCCCTCAAGCCCAGGGAGCACTGAGGAAGACTGCAATAGTCGGAGGAAGAGGAAGCAGGTGTAAAATGCTCTCTTCTAGACAAGACGTGGCCATTGCACTCACGAACTCACAGCAGCTTGCACAAGATCTGCACAAGATCAAGCCAGCCAACATTCCAGCCTGGACTGGAGAAGGGATCATCAAGTCCCACCTCTATCTCAGGAGCTCTTGGAAGTTGAGGGTTGTTGGGGAAGGGAGAGTCAATGCTCTTCCAGAGTGTGGTCCCTGGTAGGTTGCCCACGCTCCAGTGGATGGTCACACACCCACACACATGTACGTAGCACTAGCTGGACTCTGAGTTATTTAAAATAAAAAAAAGAGGGTATGAAGGTGGGAGGGGGTCTGCAGAGGGAGGGAAGAGGTAGTGGGGGTAGAATAAATGAAAGTCATTTTAAAAGTAAATACTCCAGGGAGATCTGTCAAGTTCTGGGCTTCATAGGCACCTACGTTCACACACACACACACACACACACACACACACTTCTAAAAAGTGAAAAAAGAAACTGGGCGCAGTGGTGCACACCTATAATTCCAGCACTCGGGAGGCAGAGGCAGGCAGATCTCTGTGAGTTCAAGGCCAGCCTGGTCTACATAGTGAGTTCCAGGACAGCTGGGGCTACAGGAAGACCCTGTCTCAAAAAAGACCAAAAAAAAAAAAATTTTTTTTTAATTGAAAAAAGAAAAACCAGAGCTGGTTGATCTGGGCAGGACTTACTGCCACTAAGAGCCGGTGACTCCTCACAGAGGCCTTCTACCTGCCCTGAGTCCAGCATCCCTAGTCTCTGCCCACTAGATGCCAGCAACAATGTCCCCCCAACTGGTGACAACCATAGTGATTACCACTGTCCCCTGAAGACCCAGGCCTGAGAACTATCTGTAGACACAGGTTCTCAGCTCTGTTGTAGGTCAGATATACCTACAAGCTTTCAACACCCAATGCCCAGAAAGAAGCTTCTAGGGACCTCTGAGATCCTGGGGTGACCACCTGGAGCCCAGGGCACACGCCACCTCTGTGGAGTCAGCTCCTCTTCTAGCGGGTTGGTCCCTCACCTGTTGCGGCAGTCCACACTAGTCCCTGGCTGAACCGCACACTGAGGGGCATGTCAGGATGAACAGGAGACATATGGTCCCGCATCAGCTTCAGAAGGAACAGCAGCATCATGCAGACCAGACCCAGGACGGCATCACCCATCCTACAGACAGAGCGGGGTTACCACCAGACTCAGCAGCCAGTGTCTCTGGTGTCTGGCAGTGGCTTCTCTTTCCTTTTCTTAAGATAGGGTCTCTTGAGGTAGTTGAAGCTGGCCTTGAACTTGTAATCCTCCTGCCTCAGCCTCCCCAGTGGCTGGCTGGATTGCAGTCGTAGCTTCTGTTGAAAGTCTCTCTTACTATCCTTTCCACCTGCTCCTGAATACCCTACATCTCTATTCTTTTGTTTTGTTTTGTTTTTTAGAGACAGGGTCTCCCTATAGCCCCAGCTGGCCTAGCACTTGATATGTTGATAAGGCTGGCCTCATAGCTCACAGAGATCTGCCTGCCTCTGCCTCCCGAGTGCTAGGACTAAAGGTGTGCAGCACCACACTGGGAACATCCTGGAGCATGCAGATCATTCTTGACAAAACATTTTGTTAGTGAATACAAAATCCATTAAAAAAAAATGCTCTAGTTCAAGTGCACCCTGGTCTATACAGCAAGTTCCAGGCCAGATGGGCCTATGGGGAGACCCTGACTCCTGACCAAAAAAAAAAAAAG